ATTCATTGTCAGTGTCTATACTATATTTTCAATTTTGGCTACATACGAGTCAAAAAAACGCGTACATCTGTCTCAAACGCCATGCCTGCTGCTGCTAGTTAATGTTATTTCCACTGTTTTTGTATAGCCACTTCTATTTTAGCATTTATCAAACAAAACAAAGCATATATAGTCTCTTCTCAGTCCTTTTACAAACAAAATATATAAAGGAAACGTGAGAAAGCAGACGGAGATCAGAGCTACGAGCCACTTACCATGATGTGCCCAGAGACGGAGCAGAGCGAACTGTTCTGAACACGCACACGAGGTACACGCTACACTCTGTCGTTTAACGGAGAGAGAGAAGGAGGGAGGGAGAGAGAGAGAGAGAGAGAGAAAAGAGGGGGGTGGGGTGGGTGATAGGAGAGAGAGAGAGAGGAGGAGAAGAGAAGAAGAAGGAGAAGGAGGGTGGGTAAAGGGAGAGAGAGGGAAAATATGTAGGGTGTAGGGGGGTAAAAGAGAGGAGAGATGGAGGGATGGAGAGAGAGAGAGAGAGAGGAGCAGCAGGGTGAAGAGAAAGAGAGGGAAGCTAGAGAGTAGAAGAGGAGGAGGAGGAGGCGGGGTGGGTGAAGGAGAGAGAAAGAGAGAAAGAAAAAGGGAGAGAGACGAAAGAAAACTATGTAGGATGCAGAAGGGATAAGAGAGAGGAGAGATGAAGGGATGAGATAGAGAGGAGAAGAGGAAGAGCAGGGTGGGGAGGGTGAAAGAAGAGAGAAAGAAAGGAAGAGAGGGTTAGAGAGAGAAGAAAGAAAAATACAGAGGATGTGGGGGAGGGTAAGAGAGTGGAGAGATGGAGGGATGGAGAAAGAGAGGGAAAGAGAGAGAGAGGAGGAGGGGTGTGAAAAGAGAGAGAGGGGATAGAGAGGAGAATAAGAGGAGGGGAAAAAGGTGGGGAGGGTGAAAGGAGAGAGAAAGAGAGAGGGAGAGAAAGAAGAAAGAAAAATATGGAGGATGTGGGGGAGGGTAAGAGAGGAGAGAGATGGAGGGACGGAGAGAAGGAGAGAGAGAAAGAGAGAGAGGAGAGGGTGAAGAGAGAGGGGGAGATAGAGAGGAGGATAGGGGGTGGGAGGGTGAAAAGAGAGAGAAAAAAAGAGGGAGAGAGAGAAAAAAGTATGTAGGATGTAGGAGGGATAAAAGAGAGGAGAGGGATGGATGGAGGGATGAAGGGAGAGGAGGAGGGGGTGAAGGAAAAAAGAGGGGAGATAAAGAGGAGGAACGTAGAGGGTGGGGTGGGTGAAAGGAGAGAGAAAGATAGAGGAAGAGAAAGAAGAAAGAAAGAAAAAAATATGGAGAATGTAGGGGTATAAGAGAGAGGAGAGATGGAGGGATAGAGCGAGAGCAGAAGAGGAGGAGGAGGAGTAGGGGAGGGTGGGGTGGGTGAAAGGACAGAGAAAGAGAGGGAGAGAGATAGAGAAAAGAAAGAAAAAATAGGGAGGATGTGGAGGAGGGCAAGAGCGAGGAGAGATGGAGGGATGAAAAAAGAGAAGAGGAAGAAGGGGGTGTAGAGAGAGGGGGGATAGAGAGGAGGAGAAGAGAGGGTGAGAAGAAGAGAGAAAGAGAGAGGGCGAGAGAAGAAAGAAAAATATGGAGGACATGGGGGAGGGTAACAGGAGAGAGATGGAGGGATGTAGAGAGGGAAAAAGAGAGAGAGAGAGGAGGAGGGGGTGAATCGAGAGACAGGAGATAGAGAGGAAAAGAGGAGGAAAAGGGTGAAAGAAGAGAGAAAGAGAGAGGGAGAGAGAAAAGAAAGAAAAATATGTAGGATGTAGGGGAGATAAGAGAGAGGAGAGATGGAGGGATGGAGAGAGGGAGGAGGAGGAGGGGGGTGAAGAGAGAGAGCGAGAGAGAGGGGGATAGAGAGGAGAATAAGAAGAGGTGGAGGAGAAGGAGGAGGGTGGGTGAAAGAAGAGAAAAAGAGGGAGAGAGAGAAGAAAGATAAATGATGGAGGATGTGGGGGGTAAGAGAGACGAGAGAGAAGGAGAGAGGGAGAGAGAGAAAGGAGGAGGGGGGAGAAGAGAGAGAGGGGGATAAAGAGGAAAATTACGGGAGGAGGAGAAGGACGAGGGTAGGGAGGGTGAAAGGAGAGAAAAAGAGAGGGAGATAGAAGAAAGAAAAAGATGTAGGATGTGGGGAATGTAAGAGAGAGGAGAGATGGATTGAGGTGGAGAGAGAAAGATGGACAGAGAGAGAAGGGAGAGAGAGAGAGAGGAACAGACATAGGAAAGAAAAACATGGAAGATGTGGAGAAGGGGGTGAGAGAGAGAGGTGAGATGGAGGGAGGAAGGGTGAAAGGAGAGTGCTAGAGCGAGACCAGGCGGAGGAGAAGAAAATAGAAGAAAGGCTAGAGGGACGAAGAGAGAAGAAGAGAAGGAGGTCAGATAGAGGGAGGTGAAAGATAGATAGATTGGACAGATAGAGAAATAAGAGAGAAAGAATGGAAGGAGAGATGCTAGATGAAAAGAGCGAGAGAGAGAAAGAGCTGAAAGATAGATAGATGAGACGAAACGGAGGAATAGAGTGCTAAATCATGCACAGAGAGAGTCTGTTGAGGCTGTTAGCTGCAAATTGCACAAGGATGGATAGATGCATATTTAGATGAGTGGACAAAACTCTCCCTGTGCTTTTTGATTTAAAGTTTAAAGCCGTACTGTGGAACATTTCAGGCACGGCGATAACCTTTTCATAGAGACTTGCCTAGAAATTAGACCCACCACCAGAAAGATAACATTTTTGGGTTTGAAAATACTGTACAACATTTATTTTGACGTTAGGCGTGTTCTACATGTATGTGTATGATCAACTGTTCAGCGGTCGCCATAGTAACATGATACCCACAACAGCAAACAGGCAAAAAAAGTTTCAAGATTGTATGAAAATTCCAGAAAAAAATACAAAATGGATTTAAACGACACGTTTTCGGGAGCCTGAGACCAACACAAATGTTCGAGGTCCTGTTTAGTAGGGATGTAACGACATCCAAATCTCACTGTACGATATTATCACGATATGCATTGCGCGGTACAATATTTATTGTAGATGGGACACTTTTTTGCTTTTAAAATACCTTGACAAGATTTTGGTGTGAATTATTTCCGTCATAATCCCAAGAATTCAAGTAAAAATATATATTTCTGGGCCCGGTCAAGCAGAAGTAAACAGCAAGGCCAAAATTTCAAGTTAATGCATCTGATATAAAAATGTATTGAACAGATACATATGTACTCTAGTTTATGAAACTGTTGACCTTTTTTCTGTACCATTTTTGGTTCTAAAGTTACATACGTTTTAAACAGACCATGTATGAAACATGGAACAAAAATTATTTCCCAAATTTCAAAGACCTGAAAATCATGTAAATAAATGGATGTATTTCATCATATCTTGTGTTATTCGATCTTTGAACTGTTGATGAAAGTACATGATTTAAAAAAAAAAAAAAGTATTTAAAATGATAAAAAATTAGCTTGGAAGGACTGACATATTTTATAGAAATTGTTACCTTTCATTTTGAAGTAATATTAAAGTTTTCGGAAGAAAAAAGCGACAAATGATGCAAAATCATGCACCTTCTACTTGTTTGCACAATTTTCCCTCCGTTACTTTTCCCTCTGTTACCATGACATTTCTTAATAAAAAATCTCATTATTCAAAAAGTAAGAGGTTTTTCAATCTAATCTTGTACCATATGGTAGAAAACTATATGAAGCAAATATTCAAACCAGTTTGTTAAGGATATGGAAGTGAGAACCAAGAGTTATCACTGTATTTATTGCCCAAAAAGTGCTGGATATTTCATTCCCTCCGTTACCGACATGAGTTTTTTAATTTTTTGTCAACAACTTGAAAGAATATTGCAGGTTTAACTTTACCCTGTTGGAGTGTTAACTCTTTCCTACATTCTGATACTTTACTTATTTCAATAGTCCCTCGAGTTTCTGAATAAGAGCCATTTGAATGTAAAAAATCTGCCTGTTTTCCTCCGTTACCGCTTGACCGGACCCTTCTTCATGTTGTGCTGAAATGAATCATGGGATATGTAGTTTCCGATGTTTATAAACTGTTGCTACAATAAAACAATACATTTACATCCCTACTGTTTGGGTGTTTGATATTCAACAAAAAGGTGAGAGTGACTGACTAAAACACTTGTGACTATACTTTATGTGTCAGAGATTTTTTTAACAGCACAAATCAGCCCACCTGTTCTAAGTAAGCTCTTTATGGACAGATTGTGTTCATTAAAGCTCAAATTAAAGTCTAACTTGAGTAACAGAGCTTCAGACAGAGCAGTGCCTACAGTTAGCGTCACAGTCCAAGGGAACGTTGATGATATCAGCTGCAAATGATCAATTCATAGCACCTTTTCAAGACCTAAAACAAGTTCAAAAGCACTTTACATTGTAGGTTGTTATTCATTCACTCCATACTCTGAGTTCGGGCTCTCAAAAGTATCGAAAATCAGACACTAACTGATACTAAAACTAGAATCGAAACCAGACACTCATTTTTCGCAGGTATCGATACTAAAAAGGTCACATTCACACGACAAAACAAACCTTTAGAATGATTTTGAGCTGTATCAGAACAAATAGACTAGTATACGCCCATGGACCACTGAGGGATTACACAAATATAAAACCACATGGGAATGGAAAAGAAAGTACTTTTATTTAATACTGAAAATCACATTCTATTGTCTAAATAAAGAGTGTTTTTTTTTTTATTTTTTTTTAATCATCGTGACTAGAACTTGGTTGAATTGTTTGTGAGTAAATGAAACACCAGCTCTTTAAACCAGCACCATGACAAAGCTCGATTTCCCTATTCCCAGTCCCATGTTTCATTTATATCCTCCTGTCCTCTCCTCCTCGTCATCCCTCCATCTCGCACTTTCTCCGTCTTGATCACTCTCTAGGTAGCACTCACTCTCTCTTTCTTTCTTTTGTTTGTTATCTCTCACGCTCACACTTATCACTCTCTCTGACACTCTTTTTCTGTCTCTTTCTCTCTGTGAATCATGCTTTCTCTCTTTCGTTCTCTCTGTCTATGTCTTTCTTACTCTCCTTGTCTCTCTCTCTCTCTTTATCACTCTTCCTGTCTGTCTTTCGCTCTCTCACTCTGTCTCTCTATCACACTTTCTGTCTCTTGTTTTTCTCTTTCTCTCTGTCTCTCTATCACTCTTTCTGTCGCTCGCTTTTTCTCTGTCTCTCTCTCTCTCTCTCTATCACCCTTACTGTATCGCTCTCTCTCTCTCTCTCTCCCTCGCTTTATCTCTCCCTGTCTGTCTCTCTCTCTATCACGCTCTCTGTTTCTCGATTTTCTCTTTCTCTCTATCACTCTCTCTGTCCCTCTCCCACTCTATCTCTCCCTGTCTCTCTTTATCACTCTTTCTGTATCTCCTTCTCTGTCTCTCTCTCTTTCTGTCTCTCTCTTTCTCTCTCTCTCCCACACTTTCTGTCTTTCGCTTTTTCTCTCTGTCTCTCTCTCTCTATCACCCTTACTGTATCTCTCTCTCTCTCTGCCTCTCCCTGTCTGTCTCTCTTTCTCTCTATCACTCTCTCTGTTTCTCTTTCTTGCTCTGCCTGTCTCTCTCTCTTTATCACTCTTCCTGTCTCTCTATTTCGCTCTCTCACTCTGTCTCTCCCTGTTTCTCTCTATCACACTTTGTCTCTCTCTCGCTTTATCTCTCCCTGTCTCTTTCTCTCCATCGCTCTTTCTGTCTCTCGATTTTCTCTTTCTCTCTATCACTCTCTCTGTCTCTCTCCCACTCTATCTCTCCCTGTCTCTCTCTCTTTATCACTCTTTCTGTATCTCCTTCTCTGTCTCTCTCTCTTTCTGTCTCTCCTTTTCTTTCTCTCTCTCTCCCACACTTTCTGTCTTTCGCTTTTTCTCTCTGTCTCTCTCTCGCTTTATCTCACCCTGTCTGTCTCTCTTTCTCTCTCTCTCTATCACTTCTTCTGTGCCTCGCTTTTTCTCACTTCTCTCTGTCTCTTTTTCGCTCTCTCTATCACTCTACCCATCTCTCTCCGTCTCTCGCTCTCTCTCTCGGTTTCTGTCTCCCTGTCTGTTTCTCTCTCTCTCTCTATGACTCTTTTTGTCTCTTGCTTTATCTCTCCCTGTCTGTCTGTCTCTCTCTATCACTCTTTCTGTCTCTCTCTCTCACTTTTTCTCTCTGTCTCTTCTTCTCTGTCTCTCTCTCTCTCTCACTCTTTCTGTCTCTTTCTCTCTGTCTCTCCTCCACTTTATCTCTCCCTGTCAGTCTCTCTCTCTCTCTCTCTAACTCTTTCTGTCTCTCTCCCACTCTATCTCTCCCTGTCTCTCTCTCTTTATCACTCTTTCTGTATCTCCTTCTCTGTCTCTCTCTCTTTCTGTCTCTCTCTTTCTCTCTCTCTCCCACACTTTCTGTCTTTCGCTTTTTCTCTCTGTCTCTCTCTCGCTTTATCTCACCCTGTCTGTCTCTCTCTCTCTATCACTTCTTCTGTCCCTCGCTTTTTCTCACTCTCTCTGTCTCTTTTTCGCTCTCTCTATCACTCTACCCATCTCTCTCCATCTCTCGTTCTCTCTCTCGGTTTCTGTCTCCCTGTCTGTTTCTCTCTCTCTCTCTATGACTCTTTTTTGTCTCTTGCTTTATCTCTCCCTGTCTGTCTGTCTCTCTCTATCACTCTTTCTGTCTCTCTCTCTCTCACTCTTTCTGTCTCTTTCTCTCTGTCTCTCCTCCACTTTATCTCTCCCTGTCAGTCTCTCTCTCTCTCTCTAACTCTTTCTGTCTCTCTCTTTCTCTCTCTCTCTCTCTCAATCTTTCTCTTTGTCGCTCTCTCTTTTTCACTCTGTGTCTCCATCACTCTCTCTCTCGTTCTCTCTATCCCTCTCTTTTTTCTCTCTCTCTCTCTGACTCACTTCTTACCGTTCATCCACATTTTAAAATTCAGATTTCACGGAGGAAAACAAGTCCAACACAAACACTTTCATAACAAACCAGCTCTCTGCACAAAAACACAAGGATTTTTTCTGATCAATCTTTTTCAAAATTGAGTTTCTCATTTTACATTTTAAACACGTCCAGACGCTTTCACATTTGAGAGAAGACTGAAGTATGACACAGAATAAGAGACACATGAATATTTAGAGAAGAATTAAACGACATAATGTTTCAAATTTTAGTTCAGTTTTGCATTCAGAAAAGACAGATGATGTCACAAATTGCACAAAAGATAGAAAAGGCTGGGTAAATAATAACACTATTGTTTTGAAAAGTCATGTTTCAAGCATTACATTACTGTTTACTATGAGTGTGACGACATGGCTCCAGTCAAATGAAGCTCACTGAGGCAAGTAGTTATGGGGCGAATTTGGAGCAGAGTTTCATATTAGGAATCAGAATTTATTTATGGCAAAAACAGCTAAATAAAACATCAGGTTCATGTAGAGCGGGTTTATAAAAACAAAAAAAGAAAGCACCAAAACAAATGAAAAGAACTCTATGAAAATGTGTCCTTAAAAGTCTTTATAGGTTAAAGAATTTGTAGCTTTCTAACAAGACAAGGCAAGGCAAGTTTATTTGTATAGCACAATTCGTACACAAAGTAATTCAAAGTGCTTTACAGAATAAGAAATACATTAAAATCATAATAAAAACAAATCAAAACATAAATAATCATGAAGATTAAAATTAAAAAAGAGAGACATAAATTGGAGAGAAGAGTGCGGAATGAAAACCTTTCAGTTTTATGCACAGTTAAACAGAAATGTTTTGAGCCTGGATTTAAACAGCGTCACAGAAGAGTCTGTCTCACATGTTCAGACTGTTCCAGGTTTTAGCTGCATGAACCTGAAACGCTGACTCCCCTTGTTTAGTCGTGACTCTGGGCACCAGCAGGAGGCCGGTCCCTGAGGTCCTCAGAGTGTGAGATGGTTCATATGACACTAACATGTCACAGATGGACTTTGGTGCTCGGCCATGGAGAGACTTGTACAAGCAGAGCTGCTTTAAACTCTATTCTCTGAGGCACAGGAGCCAGTGCAGAGACCTGAGCACAGGACTTATGTGCTCGTACTTCCTAGTTCGAGTAAGGACCTGAGCTGCAGCTAACATTGTTCCTTGGTCAAAAATAGAGCTGGGTATCATCGAGAAGTTACTGATATGATACATATCTCGATACAGTGCATTTTCGATTCAATACGATATACTTCAAATCAATTCGATAAGGTTCAGTTAAAACAATGTCTAAATCATGGCTGTGATACTAAAAGTTTTTGTTAAACCACTTCTAGTGCAAAGTTCATAAACACAAACATTTTAATCATCAAAACAGTGAAAATGTCAAATGAGTTTCCTTTCTCTAAACAAGCAACAAAACTGTAGCTGTAACAAAATAATTCAGTAAAATATACCAAAAAATACTCTTGGCGATATATTGATACAGCCGCCCACGATATCGATACTGTATCGTCACATGCGATATATCGATGTTTTTGCACACCCCTAATCAAAAACATGCCTGAGAGGTTTTAGACGTCCTTGTATGTTTGTATGTTTGAGTAATCTAGTGATCTCTTAGCCAATTTCATTTCTCTCCAGCGACTAAGTCAGGAATCAGAATACTCTAGACGGTTTGCAAGAACCCTGGGAGTTGTCGACCACACACCGGCCAATCAGCGAAGAGCTGTGAAGCCATGACGTCAAACTCAAGCTCCTGTCTAGGTCCCTTTAGTGATACAGCACAACAGTAAACAAAGTGGTCGAGATGAATGTAGACGAAGACAGACATTCTGTGTTGGCAACGATTCCCGAGATTGAGGATTTAAAGCTGGAACAAAAAGAATGTTTGGTGAATTTTATCAAGAGGAAAGACACTATTGCTCTTCTTCCTACGGGATTTGGCGCATTACATACGTCACGACCAAACAGCAGCGATTGGTTAAATTTAAAAAAGGTGATGGAATCCTAATGCTGCTGAGGTCAGACAGTTTCCACAAATTGAAACCGGTTCATGAACCAGGCTAGCGATCTCTCCCGGCCCCAATTTGAGCCCCTCTAAGAGTTGGCAGTACGGGTCTGTGCAAGGCTCCACCCACAAGCCAACATCACCCATGCTCCCACAAGACAATTCTCCATAAATATGCAAGAACGTGATACAAAACAACACACTACAGCTTCACAAATCTGACGCAATGTCCTGTAGCTTCATTAGCAGGACGCACGCCAACTTTAATTGACTCAGAGCATCAAAAACAAAAGTGAAACTAATAAAACATGTTGATAAAGCATTTTGAAAACAATAAAAGGTAACATAGTGATCCAAATATGTTATGTGTTAGCGTTTAATACCCCATAGAAGTAAACTACCCCCTCTTTAATCTATCTAGAGTACCTAGCTGAAGGATCAGACTACTTCATTGGTATCAAAACGTAGTAGTACATGGTATTCCTAGTTGTTTCAAAGCATACCTACCCTACCCCCTCTCCCCCCGCCTCCGGGCCCGTATACAAAGTGCTGTACACGCTGGTTGTGATTGATCGAGCTCACTGTAGTCAGCTGATTCTACAGTGTCCATAAATCTCCGGTCCGGTCACTACAGCCTACCAGCGCTCCTGCAAGGCTACTGTCGGACATCTTTGGACTGTACGTGACGAGCATTTAGCAAACCGGAGTGAGCGTCAAGTGAAACATACAGGGAAATGCTCAAACTAACTACTTTCTGCATGTTTTGTTGTATTTGTATGTATGTATTGTGGGCATTAAAGACCCTATATTACACAAAATGGACTCTTGTGAGCTTTAAGACATGTTATAATGTTGTTACCTCATCAAAAACAGACCTGGAATTGTGTTTTGTTTCATTCACACGTTTGAGTAACCCTTTTTCGTTAGTCTGCCTACACCTTGTGATCCCATGTAGTGATAGTTTTCAAGTTACAGCTACTTTTACCTTGAGTTCAGTAGAGATTGGACATTCCAGGGCTGAAATTATCCAAATGATTCTAGTGAAGGAGTTGAAAAATACAGAGGAGCACTTCCTGTATCATCACATCTATCTATTCTGACATCTATTTGGGAGAAGAGCTCAGCCTAAATATGCAGAGTTTGTGAGTTGAACCTATGTGGATGAAACAAAACACAAATCCAGGTCTGTTTGTGAGGAGGAAACAACAATAGAACACTGATCAGAAAATAGCAGAATATCCACACACCTTCACTAGAATCGTTCGACCTGGAATTGACAATCTCTACTGAACTCAAAGTAAAAGGTAGTTGTTAATTTGAGAACTATAGCTGCATGACACTATAAGGTTGAACAGAGCATTTTGAGCTTTGGAGATGTAGACAGACTAATAATAAAGGGTTACTCAAACATGAATGAAACAAAACACAACTCCTGGTTATTTTTGATGATGTAACAACATTATAACATGACTTCGGGTGCACTCACACTAGGATTTTAGACCCATGCCCAAGCACAGATTGCCCCTATAGCGTGCTACATTTGCCCAGTGTGAGCACAATCGAACCGTGCTCAAGTGTGGCACAGATGAGACTTTGGCTCAGTTGGAGGAGGTGAACCAAAGCACGGCACGGAGCTCATGTACGCGCACACGCTATACGAACCCTGCCAGATGCGCTGATGTTACTCATACGAGGAAAACGGTGAATAAAATCAGCTCCAAAACACACGGCAAACCCACGCTCAGCTTCAATAAGACAGATAGAAGTTTAGCTGCTTCCCGTCTCCGGCTGTCATCATTACTCCGCATTTACGTCCATAAACTCACGGAGGACGCACATCAGCCTCACTATTTAATAGATAGTTCTGCCGCTGGACTTTTTTTCTCCGCTGGTTTGGTTGTGCAGGTGTGAGTGCAGAACATAGACACCTACGTAATCATTCTTGAGCACGGCACGGTTCTAAAGTCCTAGTGTGAGTGCGCCGTTAAAGCTCAACAGAGTCAGTTTTCCGTAATATTAGAATCTTTAACCAAACAAGTCAGATCAGACCTTTTTGTCATAGTCTTATCCACTTCACAGTTTACCCAGAGGTGGAACATAACAAAGTAAAACATAGCAAAAATCTAAGGTTTACTGTCTAAAGCAGACTTGGAGAAACTTATCCATGCGTTTGTCTCCAGTAGGTTAGATACTGTAATGGTCTGCTCACTGGTCTCTCCAAACGAGCTGTGAGACGCTGCAGCTCGGGTCCTTACTCGAACTGGGAAGTACGAGCACATAAGTCCTGTGCTCAGGTCTCTGCTCTGGCTCCTGTGGCTCAGAGAATAGACTTTAAAGCAGCTCTACTTGTACAAGTCTCTCCATGGCCGAGCACCAAAGTCCATCTGTGACATGTTAGTGTCATATGAACCATCTCACACTCTGAGGAGCTCAGGGACCGGCCTCCTGCTGGTGCCCAGAGTCGCGACTAAACAAGGGGAGTCAGCGTTTCAGGTTCATGCAGCTAAAACCTGGAACAGTCTGAACATGTGAGACAGACTCTTCTGTGACGCTGTTTAAATCCAGGCTCAAAACATTTCTGTTTAACTGTGCATATGACTGAAAGGTTTTCATTCCGCACTCTTCTCTCCAATTTATGTCCCTCTTTTTTAATTGTAATGTTTATGTTTTGATTTGTTTTTATTATGATTTTAATGTATTTCTTATTCTGTAAAGTACTTTGAATTACTTTGTGTATGAATTGTGCTATACGAATAAACTTGCCTTGCCTAAAAGTAGTAAAGAACATTATTTAATTATGGATTTTAGATATCTGTACTTAAGCAGATTTAAAAGTTGATGCATTTCTTTTATTACATTTGAGAGGAAGCAAGTGTACTTTCTAGTCCACTACATCTTTGAACAGAAGGGAAAACTAAAAGTATTTTTTACTATAGTCCTGCTGAAACCTGCTGAAAAGGATGTTCATACTAGTTTGAACAAACAAAAACATACAAATAAATAAAAACAGATAAGAAAAAATAAATAAATTCTAACTGTAGCTATTCAGTTGCTTCTGTTGAACAAAATTCATCAAATCTTTATCAAAATCACTATATTTGAAGCTTTATTAGATCTCAAAAACTGTCCAAACGGTACTTCTTCCACCACATATTTTATCCCTGCTGTCCTGTCCTGGAGTCTTTAGCTTCAGCCACAGTGAAGACAAACAGGCAGCTTCAGTGTTGTGAGCATGTAGAGCACTTATGTAACAGTCTGAGCTAATGAAGCGAAGGACACATGGGCCTGGACTCAGACTCGGGGTAATAAGAATATGCAGACGCTCCATGTACACTGGTCTTATTTACACCGGGGAAATAATGTACTATCATATAAGACGTACAGACAGGAGCCAGACTTTGATTTGATATCTTTGTTATAAATAAATATATGTATGCCTTTGTTTGACGTAATGGATTGAGACGTGAATGTGAAGCGAGAAATACAAAATGGATTTAAAGTGCAGATTTCCAGGAGCTTATGATCAATATATGAGGTTTAATGGGCCTCTTTAGGTGTTTTTCTATCGTTCAAGGACAAGCTTACTTTTTGTGCCAAATAATCATTAAAATACACCGTAATATAGTTTGGTTTGTTTATTTTATTTTACTTATTTAGTGTCATGCACCATTTAGTTGATGCTCTGCTCGCATGGGCTTATAAAACACATAAAACAATAAGCAGACAAATCACACATCAACCATAAAGTGTCGTCTTACGGAGGTCCCAGGCTTTCAACGCAAACGAAGCCAACTTGAAAACATTAAATTTAAACAAATACTCCAGTCTTTTTTCATCAGACACAGCAAACCAACAGTAAGACGGTAACATTTTATAATAACTACACCTTATTTAGCCTTAATAAAGCATGAACAAAGATTTAATTAATAATGATTCGATTCACGCTTAGTAACTACTTAATTACTACCTTAATTAGCACTTTCACTTAATTTGCCTGTGCTGTAAATAGTTACTCATAATTATTTCATACTTAATTACTCATGGACGAACCATTTGAGCATTTATTCATCATTAATAAGCTATGAGAGAATGATTTACTAATAATGCAATGCAATGATCATTTCTGTTAGTTAAGTCTTTTTGAGAGCTTTTCTAAAGTGAAGATAAATTACGCTTTAGTAAGAATTTACTAAGCGTGAATCATTATTAATTAAATCTTTGTTCATTATTAATTAAGTCTTTGTTCATGCTTTATTAAGGCTAAGTAAGGTGTAGTTATTATAAAGTGTTATCAATACATTAGACAGCAACTGACACCAGGGTTGGGCGGTATCCAAATTTTGATACTGCTAAACTTTCTCAGGATTTTCCCACGGTAAATGAAACCGTATTATCAAAATGTTTTAGTACAACTTTGGCAAGCTATGAAGCCGCACCGCTGTATGGTCTATGCGTATGACCTGCAGACTTATAATCTCTGAAAAGTTTCACATGAACCATCTCCAAGGCAAGACTCACCGTCAGCAGCACATCCTCTGACGCAGAAAGAACACACATAATCCACTGAGTCGTGTCCTTTAGTCCGACAGAAGCTGAACCGCATCAGCGCACAAGGAAAGAGCTGTTTTTATCAGCGTTTATAGTTTATGCAAAAGTTTCGTTTCTGTAAAATGTCAAGAAATGTGCACCTGAAGCCAAAATGCTGCCAAACTAAAAAAGTCTTAGCATTTTTTGGGGGGACCAACTTGCTTGCAACCTGATTTGTTCTTGTCTTGGTCTCCCTTCTGATCGTCACGTGACAACAGAACAAAACTAATCTAATTTCATCTCCCCACGCAGTTAAAAGAAACATTATCGACACTATTAGTTTTACATCATGATAGCTTTAAATTGGAAATACAACCACACATTCATTTAGGTATCAATAAATTATAATATTATATTAGGTCCTCATGCGCTGCAGATTTTTTAGATGACGGTAATGAAACTGATACCATTGCTACTTTTTGATACCTCGGGATACTTGTAATACTTGTATTACCGCCCGACCCTAACTGACAGCGCAGGTCATGATACAAAGGACACTTGTACAGAAAATGCATTTCAATTTCAAAGTCCTTCAAGTCACACAGAGCTCATGTGCGCTCCTCCTCTGGGATTGAGTGGAAGCGTCCCGTCTCCAGAGTCAGAGTCCCTCACCTCAGCTGTGCACAAACTGACCTCTAACCTCTGCTTAAATTCAGAGTGACATGAAGCTCAGGCCCAAAACAGTCTTTAATTAAAACATATGTTCTTAATTTTGGTTTACGTAAGATTTCACTGAGCCACTTCTGTTTATACTTCAGAGTAAATCTTCCTAGTTTGTCTGACACTACAGGTGAACTTATTTCTATAAATAAACTGGAGATCTGCATCCTCAAAAATATTCTCAACCTCTCTACTCCAAAACGATTTATGTAACAGACTCTGGTTAAACACATATTTGGTTAATCTCGTGTATCTCTGTACAGGGCAAGTTTAATAAATAAATATAAATAAATAAGGCATTTTCCACACAACTTGCATAACAAACAAACAAAAAAAAAAAAAGTATAAAAAACAAAACAAAACAAAAAACACTTCCTTTGACAATACTTCTTTTTCAGGGGAGGTGTTTGATTTTCAACAGAAAGTGACTTTAGGACAATTTGAGAGGAAAGTCTAACAAACAAAAAAATCGCACAAATGTAGTTAATCTAATAAAACTGGGACAAATCACTAGTTTTGTATAAATCTGCTCAAAACTGGGGCTGTCCTGGGTAAATAGGTATGCCTGGTCACCCTATCTTACAGTATATTTTAAAATTTTAAGTAGAATTATTCCAGTGATACTTTTACTTGAGTAAATTTCTACTTCTGTATCTGTACTTTTACTTAAAAGACAAAATTAAGTACTTCATCCACTACTGTGTATAACTAGCTGACCTCGCCATGTAATCCTCAGTCGCACAAACAAACCGAGGCCCCAGTAGCACACGCTCTGCTTGAGTAAACTCAGACGGCGGGCCCCGGGGACAGTGAGTACATGGAGTTGGCAGAAGCTCTGGACCTGGGAATATCCGGAACATATGTCGTCTGGAGCAGGGGAGCCGCCTGTCGCACTCCCACCGCCTGCTCCATTGTAGTTCATCGTAACTAACAAGTGTAGTGTCATTAGCGAGATTACAATGCTCTTTAAAGACATATTTAGATCAGCATGTTACATTTTATGGTTTTGAAAATGCTGTAGTCGCCGAAAACAACATCTTAACATGTTTAATTTTTGACGTTCTCAAACTACTGCACATTGCGTCAGTTTTGTATCTTGCTTTTGTATATTTATCGGACAGATTTGTACTGCTAACTGTAAATGGGGCTGGAACTGTGCCCGGGAGAGATCAATAAATTATTCAAACATGCATGGATGACAGAGACTGTATGGACATAGCTTCAGGCTCCATCGACTTTAGCTCCAGTTTACTTTGCATTGAAAATGATCAACCCCATATCCTTCTGACTCAGAGGTGGGGACTCAAGTCAAACTCGAGTCACTATTTTTAGGACTTGAGACTTGACTGGAGAAATGGACAAAGATTTGGGACTCGACTTGAACTTGAAGGTCAGTGACTTGGGA